TATCCTTCAAGCCCCAAAGTGTCAAACCCTGGTGTGTGGCGGAGCCCCAGAGCAGGCAGAGCAGGGAGAACTGTTTGCACAGCACCTGCATCACCTCAAGGCCATGAGCATCAGCATCTTAGTCTTTAGTCCGGGATTCAGGGAGAACATTGTGATTCAATGCCTTTCAGTAGTGAAATACACTACATATTTGTGAATAAACCTCACAGCTCTGCAGTGAGCACAACACATCCACCCTTTGCTGCAAATGATGCCTTTGGTGCAGCTGGAGGGAGCACTGCTGGCGGGCTCCTCCCTCATGCAGAGGCTGAAGGGCAGAGTGTGTGCAAGGGAAGGCAGAAATTCAACTAAACACGTGAACATTTTCCTCCCCCTCCACCTTTGCCCCTGTCTCTGCTGTGTTCCCATCGGGAGCAGCCAGATCTTCTCCAACACAATGTTCAGCATCAAGGTGTTCCTACAGAAAACGCTGATTCTTCTGCAGGTTACTCTGTCTGTTGTTGTTGGCAAAACACTAATGATACTGTTTCCCAATGCCATGAAAAGATATATCCTAAAAATGGGCGAAAAGAGCAGAATGAACAAGAATCCAAAGTTCAGCTATGAAAACTGGGGTCCGACTTTTTTCAGCTTCAAGTATTTGCTCTTTGTGCTGAAGGTGAAGTGGAAGAGGCTGGAAGATGAAGCCTTCGAGGGACACCCTGCTCCCAACACGCCGGTGGTGACCCTCAACGGGGAAGTTCGTCACCTCTTGGATTTCATGGGAGGTCAGTAATTGAGCCATGTCAGATGGGGTTGCTATGCTGAGACCATAAATGAGGGACGCTGAGGGAACAGGAACAGGCATCTGGCACCAGAACCTTTTGGTACTTGTGAACCTTTTGCAAGAGCTGGCTTTGCCTGGAAACACCTTTTACTGAAAACCAAGATGATAATTTGTTTTAGGGAGAGAAGGCCCAGAACTGAACCATGTGCAGTGATTCAGGAGTGTTGGCTGTTGTTCCCTGTTGGTACAGAAGATCCCACACCAGCTCCCTCAGCCAGTCTAAACCCTAGAAAGCACAGGGTGGGTTTTCCCAGATCCAAGGTGGCTGGAAATAAAAGCAGAAGTAGCTGCTTTGTACTTTGTCCGCTGCCTCCCACTGACATCTCTGTAGAATGTGGAATTAATCATTAAGCTGCAGCCTCCATCCCCATGGGAGGGATTACATCCTTCTCTCTCTGCTTTTCTAATTATATACAGATATTTATGTAGAAAATGAGATGCAAGTTTGGAAAGGAATACACAGCATCTACAGGAAGGTACACTTCTATTAAATTCTTCAGGATGTGAATCTATGTTAGCAGCCACTTTTGAAGTTAAACCCAGCCAGAAGGAAGGTCTTGAACAAATTTCATGTAATTTAGCATAACCAGACTAAAAGAGCTTAAAAATCCTGCAAGTTCTCTTAAATCAAGGACTTGCAAACAGATGCCAACAACTGTGGCACATACTGTTAATTTGTAAGCAACTGCAGACACTTTTGCAAGTGGCTCGTGTAACATTAGTTTAATAAATAATATATAACCAGGGTTCTGTTTGGACAGGAAATTACAGAAATACAGGGAAAGCATTAAAGCCTGTGATGCATCACTGAAAACTCTGCAGCTTCCCCTCAGCTCAGCTTGAACTGACACCTCTGAAAAAAATCAGGACATGTCCAACAGGTCCAGGAAAAGGCACTAGGGCACTGTGCTTCATGGCCATCCCTGAACCACTATCCTTGGAAAACCTTGCAGATGGGCCATGTTTAGTATTGAAGTTGCTCTGTACTAAGGATCTCAGGGAGGCTGTGCTACACACTCTATACCAGTTCCCCATCCCAAAACATCGGTAACTTGAGAACTGGCTCTTGTGATGAGGAAAAGAGAAGCTGGAAAGGGTCCCCTCAGTTGAACTCGTTGCTGGATGCAGCACAAGTCAGAGCCAAGGGAAAGAAAGCATCTTTATGCCTGTTTTATGTAGATGCAGATGTTGTGCTGCTGATTTTAATGACCAAAGAAGGTTATGGGATAAGTGTTGTCCGGGAATCTCTGTGTATGCATTTAATTCTGCCTTCCTTCCTTCCTGATTTAACCACAAAATGTCCTTTTTTTTCCCCCAGATAACCGTCCTTTAATCCTGAATTTTGGAAGTTGCACCTGACCTTCATTTATGCTAAAATTTGATGAGTTCAACAAGCTCATCGAAGATTTTGGCTCAGTAGCAGATTTCCTTATCATCTACATTGAGGAAGCTCATGCAGTAGGTACAGCACAAACAGCACAGCTGATGCCAAAAGCAGCTTCATATGTGTCATTCCCTTTAGGAAGAAAATGTGTTAGAGCAAAGGAGGGAGCTTCAAATGGGAAAAATACCTTCCTCAAATCAAAAGTGGCAACACCACATCTCAGGCACGAGTTTGTGTCTGTAATTCTCCAAAGATTCTACTCACGCACTTTACACAGAGTTACTCCTGCTGAACACTCAGCTCTGTGAAGGTGAAGGACATAGTTAACACCTTTACAAAACTTCCTTTCAGTGTTAGTACAGCTCCTTTTAGAAAGTGGAAGAAAAGACACTTCATAGAACGAAGGTTAGGTGTGCAATGCCAGCATGTTATATGTTTTAAAAAAAGAAGATTCATTTTTAACATGTCTCAAGAACAGGACGCAGACTCCAACAGGATATATGTTCCCCACTTTGTATCTTTCTAGGGTTGATTTATGTGGGAAAATTTCAGCTAAAAATATAAAAAATATTTCTGAATCCAGGGCAAGGGTAAAATAGAGTTTGCTGAAATTAAAGAAAAAAAAAAATCTTAGGACCACTTATTTGAAAAGCTCTAGTGATCCCATACTCTGAGGTGGGCTTTCATTTAATGGCAAGCTTTCGTGTTAGAAGTAAACTGCAGGATTTTTTAACCCAGTTTTGGGATATGACACACACACAGTACATCTCTGCCTTGAACCCATTCAAAGTGCTCTTTGCTAAATCCCTTTCTCATTTGTTTTAGATGGATGGGCTTTTAAAAACAACGTTGTTATTAAAAATCACAGAAGCCTTGAAGATCGAAAAATTGCAGCACAATTTCTTCAGAAAAATAATCCTTTATGTCCAGTAGTTTTAGACACTATGGAAAACCTGAGCAGCTCAAAATACGCTGCGCTGCCAGAACGACTGTATCTGCTTCAAGGAGGGAAAGTTATCTACAAGGTAAAAAGTATCAATAATAATGAGCACAATATGCTAAGATTTTTAAATTCCAAAATAATTTGAGACTGCCTTACATTTATTTAATTCAGTTTGAGAGCTAAAAATTTCATCAAAACCAGCCTGGGCCTTTAAAATGTACATATTTGATGTACACCTCAGTCTTGCTCAAATATTTATCTTTTGGCTCACTAGTAACCCTGAGTACATCTAAGCTGTGAGATCCAGGAACACCTTCCAGCTCCAGGATGCAGACATTGGCACCGTCCCAGTGACACAGCAGGGTGCAACCTGTGCATACACCATCTCCCAGCGATGGCTGCAGTGCAAAGGGAGCCCAAGCACACCTGCCCACAGTTCTGGTGCAGCTGCTGTGCTCCAAAGGACTTCTGCTCTGTCTGCTTGAATATCACTGTGTCATTTTATTGCCTTTGCAGGGAGGATTTGGGCCTTGGAATTACCACCCCCAGGAAATACGTGCCATCCTGGAAAAGCTGAAATAGAAAAAGAAGAGGATTCAGAGTAAAGACTGGATAAAAAAGTTCAAGAACAATTTCTCACAGACATAACTGTAGAGAAAAAAAAAGAATTTAAAAATAACAAGAGACAACAAGAAAAGGAATATTTTATGTACATCTAAAGAGCATCCGTAATGGGGTTCATTATGTGTTTGTCCAGAGGCTTTCAAGTGTCATCATTACAACCCCAACTACTGCTCTGTACTATCTTACTCCACTTATACCACAAGCAGTAATGTGGTAGCTGGGTCCATTGAGCTCTCATACCAACACTTATATTTGTAAGGACTGGAAACCAACATTTACATGTGTAAGGACTATCCTGCAGGATAAACTTCAGAGGTGCTGGCTCCTGCAAGAGTCTTCTGGCATGCAAAGCAACTGATTCAACATTACTAAGGTTCTCTTTCTCTTGTATACATACGACTCTTCCTAAACACACACTTTTACTGACTTCAGGAGGCTTCTGAGCAAGGCAATCTCCATCTCCACTTGTTTCCATGAATATTTGTTATGGCGGCCACAGCATAAAGCACTGACGGCTGTGACCTGATTCTAGAAAATATTTATAGAAACAAGGGATTGATCTGCAATTATTAAAAGTCTATCAGAGCACTTCATATGTCTTCACATTATTTCCTTCCCCACCCTGCCCCTCTCCCCCCCCTGGTTATTTCTCAGCATTAGCAGTTTATATTCATCCTTGAGCTGATGAGAAAGTTACCAGTTTATGGACCTTTGAAGGACTTGCTAGACAGTAGGAAGTAGTACCTCCCATTTAAGTACTTAATGCTTTCTTTTCTATTCATAGTGTAAGGGAAACATTTTACAGGAAATTGAGTTTTAATTCATATATTAGGAAAGCCTGATATAAATATACTAATTTAAATGGACTCAGTTATGCTCAAGTGTTCTAAACTGACAGTTTAGGTTATAAAATAAGAAAGCTGTTATTACAATTAACAAGAGCATGGCATTGTGGTTGGACTTGATCTTAACAGTCTTTTTCAACCTAAATGATTTTATTCTATCCTATTCCATACGTTACACCAGCAGGGAATACATACTACATCCATACCTTCAAAAAAAACACTTTAATACAAGGTTCTAATAATAAACAAACATTCTCTGCAATACAGCTATCAAGATGTCACTTCAGTACAAAAGAATGGAGGTCCAGATGTAAGCTGGACTTAAGCATTTTCTGCTGTGCCCTCTGCCATCACCCGGTGCACTGACACAAAATGATCAAAGGCAGATTTGATGATGAAACGCAAGTAAGTGGCCTGGAATTCAGGAAGCTGCAGAAGGAATAAAAAAATGTTATTGCATTCTCTGTGGTGACAAAACTACCAAACATTTGCAGAAGTTTGTTAGGCAGAAGGATCTAGACACTTTCATGCCTGTCTTCCAATTGCACATAAATCAAGCTCTTTGACAACATCTAGCCAGCTTCAGAGTTTCTTCAGATGACAGCAATTCATAAAAGCCTCATCACTCCTGAATTCCACAGCCTTTTAAAGGCAACAATTGAAGGAGGGAAGATTGCCACACTTCTGGAAAGGGCCCTCCACATAGTTAGGAGCACTAGGCAGGTGCAATTTCATACCATAATCTACAAAGGAGCAGCTGGGAAATGCAATTTCATACCTTGATCTACAAATTCCTCTCTCTAACACCAACTGAGCAAATAATTGTGAATAAAGACGTTTGGGTTTTTTATAGATTCTCCCCACTTAGTCCAGACATCCCATTTCATGAACCACTACTGATGTACACCATAAATACTCACTGGAAATTCTTCCATTTGGAGCTGTCCTTCTGTGTGTTGCAAATCTAGAAAACATATTTTAAAGCAGATAATGAAGAATAATGTGAAATGCTGTGAAAAGTTTTCACTGGACTCAGAGTTCAAGTGAATTTAAGGACTATGAATTTGCACTGTGTATAGAAATAGTTCTTTTTTATTTTTACAAGGTGATTTAAGAGAATAAATACTTTTTTGCAATATCCCAGTGTGTATATATATCCTACTCATTATGCTGGGTTATAAAATGTCACTCAAGAGGCACTAAAAACCCCAAACAATGCAGGAAATGGCACTCTATTATACTATGTAAGCCTGTTTTTAATTTTTGGAACATAAAGTGCACAAGTAGTGCTTTTAGCCCTTATACAGCATTTTATTTTCCAAACAGCTACAGACACCAGCAGTGTTCATAAAATTCACTTAAACATGACTATTACATTAATGTCGAATAAAATAATCATCAAGCTACACTTTACTCAGCAAATAGATGTGGGGTTAAAATAATTGAAAAAGACAAACATTCCCACAAAATCCGTTTCTTCAGAGCCCTACCTTTTTCAATGCACTGTTCAAAACCCACAGGGTCTTTGGATACACTTCTTTCAATCCTTAAGGTCCGCACTAAAACACATATAAATTTGAGATATCAAAACAAGTTCTGATTCCTTATTGATAATGATATTTATTCCATCACTTTTCATCCACAGAGCACTTCAAAAGCACTAACTAATCCATTCTTCCTCTGACCTGTGGAGGGTTTGGACGTGACAGACGATTCCTTTGTGAAGTTAAATCTTAACGGATCTGTTAAAAAGTGGCTACTTACAGATCATGACACTACTGTGATAATTTTCATAAAGGCACAGACGCACATTTTAATATAGCACATATTACCTACTGCAAGACACAAAGTCTTACCCAAATAACACTGGATTGCGACTTTGCTGATTTTCACACATTTGGGAAAACCAATAATGAATTCCTGTGGGAACATGCCTGTCGTCGTCCAAAATGTTTCAGAATTCCTGTGGAGACAGCGGGACAAAACCCTCACCTGCACCTTTCCATCTCTAACCATCTTGAAAAAAATTAATCACAGAAAAATATGGAGGGAAAAGAAAGGGGGAAAGAGGAAAAGCAAAGGGGAAAAGCAAAAGGAAAGGGGGGAAAACAAAGCAAAAGCAAGGGGG